TATCCAAAAATTATATAATGAACAACAACAATCCAGCACGAAAGCTACGGAACCATTTATAGTATTCCGTGGACAAGGTTTGTCAGTTGAAAATTTCGATAAAATGAAACAAACCAAAGGAGGATTTATGTCCTTCAATAATTTCTTGTCCACAAGTGAAAATCATCAAGTGCCCGTTAAATTTGCTCGAGAAGGAGCATCGGAAAATCCCAGTATGGTTGGCATCCTCTTTATAATGACTATTGATCCTGATGTATGTACAAAATCAAAAATTCCATTTGCTGATGTTAGTCAAGTTGGCTTTTTTGAAGGCCAAGAAGCTGAAATTCTTTTTACAACACATACAATATTTCGAATCGATAAAATTCAACAAATTCATGACGATCATACTGATCGTCTTTGGAAAGTTCATCTTACCCTTGTGGGTAACGACAACCACGAGCTAAATACACTTACAGCACACGTACGCGATGAGGTCAACTTGGCAGCACCAATACGAGGATGGTCTCAACTAGCTTTCATACTTCTTAAAGTGGGTGAGCCTGCAAAAGCTAAAAAACTCTACAAAATACTTCTCCAAAAGGCAACTTCGGATAAAGAGAGATCAGATTACAATAATTACCTTGGTCGAGCATATGCGGAAATGGGCGAGTACTCGAAAGCACTTTCATCGTTCGAACAATCACTTGAAATCCGAAAAATAACTCTCCCTCCGAATCATCCCGACTTGGCTTCGTCCTACAACGGCATCGGTATGGTGTATGATAAAATCGGCGAGTACTCGAAAGCACTTTCATCATACGAACGATCACTTGAAATCCGAAAAATAGCTCTCCCTCCCAATCATCCCGACTTGGCTTCTTCCTACCTCAACATCGGTAATGTGTATTCTAAAATGGGCGAGTACTCGAAAGCACTTACATACTACGAAAAAGACCTGGAGATCACTCTGAAAGCTCTCCCTCCGAATCATCCCGACTTGGTTTCTTCCTACAACAACATCGGTATAGTGTATTATAACATGGGCGAGTACTCGAAAGCACTTTCATCGTACGAACGATCACTTGAAATAAAAAAAATTGCTCTCCCTCCGAATCATCCCGACTTGGCTTACTCTTACAACGGTATCGGTTTGGTGTATGATAACATGGGCGAGTACTCGAAAGCACTTTCATATTTCGAAAAGGCGCAAGACATCTGGAAAAAATCACTACCTTCAAATCATCCACATATTGCACTTGTGAAAAGAAACATTGACAATGTAAAAAAGAAAATGTAATTGTTTTTTTCTTAAACAAGAAAATAAATTGACCTTCTTGAACACGTTTGGCTCGCCGAAGCGCACCAACTACAAAAATTTCGCGCACTCGTGACCAGGGATACCCTCCGTATTCCGTTGGGTTGTACAGTGGACAAAGTCGGCAATGATAAGGCAAACATACATTTATGTATGTATGACTAGTACATCCATGATCATCATCTTCGGAAAGACGATGACGAAATGGATGCTTCTAGTCATACATACATAGATGTATGTTATAAAGGCCTACCATCTACACGCCTGTACAGGTTATCAACAGAACGTCGGATATCCGTGTGAAGGTTCATTTTGTTTTAGAGGCACCCTCAAAAGCTCCGTTTGTTTTAAATTTTTTTTTTCCTTCTGTTACGAAGAACGAGAAGAAACATAGAAACGCGAAGAAAGACGACGTTGACGGAATTTTAATACGCAGCGTAAAATGACAACCGGTTGTTTTAACGCATGCTGTGATATTGAGTGCACGATATCTCTATTGTCTTCACACATGTTATGTTCAATTTATTTTTCTTTTCATCTGAAATGTGTAAGAACAAATGACATGTCGTGCACTCCATATCATATTATACGAGCGATGACTGAACGAAAGAAGAACACAAAAAAAAAATTATCGGCTATTCTCTTTGATTAGTAACATATACATATATAAGAGATAATTGAAAGAAGAAAATGAAAAAGGAATTTTTATAAATTTAATGATTTTTGTTACTTATTATATAACGTTTTTATACATTTTATTTTTATATTAGTACAAAGAATGACATCGGTGATGATGCAACTCATTGCATATCTAATTATGATATTCAAAGAACTTTTGTAAGTGCAAATCTTTATCAGGCGACTTGTATTCTAAACTATTTCGATACTTTTAAGATCGTGTGCCATGTTTTCTCACTTCCATTTATAGCTGATCGTCTCAAATAGATTACGAACAATCTTTCATCCATTAATATTCAGATCTGTAACTCATTTGGAATTGCACGATAAACTTCCATTTAAACATGAATTTTTCATTCTAATTACTCAAGCTTTTTCATCACTTAAATTGTTATCTATTATGAATATTTGATCACAATTTTGAAGATCTTACAAATATCCATTCATTGATAACTATTCATATTCGGTTGTTGAATATTCTTATCTTATTTTACTTAATCTATATTTCTGAATGAATTTAAAACACATTTATCATGTTTAACTAAATTAAAAGATTTATATGGTCAATTAAAAACTGTAATAAAAAGTTTAACAAGAAATAGAACAGAACAAAATTGAACCAAAGTGAAACGATTAATTGTTGAAGACTCAATAATTCTGTCTGAAGGTGTTCATCATTATTTTCTTTCATTATAAATTCAATCTTATTTTGATTTCACTTAAATAAAAATCAATAATTTATATCTTTCGTTTTTCAGAAAATAGAAAAGGTGTTAAATATTATTTATTAATAATCGGACTATACGTAACATAAAACAAATCGATAAATCATTTTTGATCGTTCAATCTGAAGAAAGAACCATGAAAATAGTTATTTATTGCTTCAATTACACAAATTATAACAGAATTATTTTACATTAAACATAAGCAATAATTATTAAGATTCCATAGTGAATGAAAGTTTTTTTTTTCTAACTAACTTCTTTTCTGTAAGTCTAAAGATATTGCAACAAATGAGAAATACACTGGACATAGTCAAATGATTTTTAACATTTTCCATGAAAACTTAAGAATTTCCAATAAAAAAATGATTAGGACATCTATGCTAAAATGCTGCAAATATATTAAAATAATTTATATAGATAGATGAATATAAGAGACGTTTGTGGTAAAAACACGTTTTTTTGTACCAAAAAAAAAAGAAGTATGTAGTGGAACATGATCCGAAACCATTTGTTCACGTTTTCAATGAAAAACGAGATGTTCCAATGCAGATCTTTGTAAATTCTTTTCTCATATCAATGTTTAAGTTATAATTTCGTTAGTAACTTGATTGTTTTACAAGATTCATTTCGAACATAATTAACTAATATGTATTCAATCTCGCTCATAATTCATATTAAACAATTTAATTTCTTAATCTACAGACAACGAATAATAGAAGTTATTTATTGTTTCTTAGTAGTCGTTCTCTTTTACAAAGTAACTTGATATTAATTCTATAGATCTGTACTGCCAAATTTATCGAAGGATAATGTATTGAACCGTTCTATCAAACAACGAAAATTATTCTATCATATTCAAAGCAAGCAAACCAAAGAATCGTTTCAAATCGACATGATAAATTCCGATTATCTGAAGTAAACGGGATTGAACTAAAATTTAATGACACTGTAATGTTGAGACGATTCATACCATAAGTCTGAATAAACTAGAATGATCTCAACTGATATCTAAAAACCCGCTTGAAAGAGTCTAAACCTAATGGAATCAACGCTGATTTTCAAATCGACGAGAACAGATACCACAGTTAGATCTTACCTGAAAAAGTCGAGTAGCGGTAACAACAATAAAATGAGATGATTTTTTGAACAATGTCTTTTATTATGCTTTAATAATCATTTACAATATTGTATATCTTCAACGAATAATGAATGTAGATAGTTGGTATCATGCAGATCGCTATTCAAAACAAAAGTCGATTTATCTCAATAATTGTTCGACTATTTTACATTGAACAATAGAGTTTGTTTTATAAAAATGATGAGAGTCTTGAGATAGTGATTCAAATTATTCCAATTAAGTTAATTCCAATCCTTTCAGCAATTTCAGTTGGGGAGGACTTGGAAAACTACTAGTATTTTTTGAGTAAGTTTTCAAGTATTGTTCCTCAGACACGAAAAGGTTCGTCTTATTTTGCTCTATCTTCTCATGTGAAATGAGACAAAGACGAACGAATTTGATCGATTTTCAATTGAAATAATGAAACATAAACAAAAACGAACAGTTTTTTTGAGTAAGCCTTCCTATCTTTGGATGAATATTTCATTTCTATGAAAAGTCTTACGAAAAAAAAATAAAAATTTTAAGATCTATTCTTAAGAAGTTAAATGAATATTAATCAAAGCACATTTGAGTTCAATATCACTAGATTTTATATTTAATGAAATTTAACTTGAAATTTTCTTTCAAACTCGATGAAAAGTAAACTACTCTCTCTTCATAAAAAAAAGAATTTGAAATCATCTATCAATTCTCTGAAAATAGAAAATTCCGTTGTGTGGATGAGAATCAAATGCCAATTGTATAATCAATAATTTATGTAGTTCTATAGTTTGCGTCTCTCTTTCATTCGTACGTAGATTGGGAATGTACATTAAATAAATATTCTGAAATAAGTCAAAACAATTTTAATTCAACATTATACTGACAATCTTTAGTATGATGCTATTAAGAATGTTATAGATTCATTTATTTTACAATAAACTATGTTCTTCAGACCATTTTTCATGGCGATATTTCTTTTTTCTTTTTGACTTTATTACATCTAATTATACAATCATTTGAGATCATGAGTATTTGATGTATATATGGAAGTCATGGTTTATTAAATTCATGTAGAATTATTCTATAAATAGTTATTTAAACTGAAAAATCTTATTGATAAATTTTATATAGCAGAAGAAATTAATGCTAATTATGTTCAGATTTTTTTTTCTTTGTGAAATCGAATCTACTTTTTATGCGTATATTTATAAATACTTATTAGGAAATAGATTGATTTACACTAAAGAAAAACTATTAGATAATTACATTATTTTCTAAGATAATATTTATAGAAATATAATGAGATTTATCGATCTCTATCAGATATGATTCTATTTTATCTTCAACTTTAGATAAAAATTGTTCAAAATTCTCTGTATATTGTTTTCTTTTTTCTTTTTTGTCTTTGATTTTTCTTACAAAACGAAATTATTTGTCTAGTTCATTCCCCTATTACGAATGAATAATTTATTTTTAGGTGACAGATATATTTTTATTTTTGTCTTTGTTCATAAAACTTTTGCAAATCTCAAGAATATAAAATATCCTTGAAATATCAATGACAAACGAAGGAAATTTAAAAAAATGTTTTGCTTTTTATTTCTTGTTGAAAAGATGTTTTTTTTTGTATTATTTCGATGATAGTTATTGCTTTAATTTTATTTCTGCTCATGTTATAGTATTTTATTTTTTAAAATATTTTCTAGAAAATGAAACTAATTGATTGATGAAATCCTAGCAAAACGAAAAACAAAAACAAAAATTGACGTTTTTCTGTAAGTGAGAACAGTCGAACAAATTCCAATCAACAGATATCTTTTATAGTAATTAAATATAAACGCGAATCTTTTTACTTTCGTCTTCAAGATAAATCTACATTTATTTATTTATTTATAAATCCAAAATATAATGATTTCGTAAATCGATGTGAAGCTATCACGACGGATTTAGGTGAACTCGAAGTCTGTAACGCTGAGTATTGTGGGGACGGAAGTTGGATGAGGATGCTCGGCAATATGTACACAAGCACCTGCACCCAGATTTCCGCCCTGAAAAGTCCAAGTATTCAGGATTTTAGGTTTATCTAAATCCGTCCTCGTAGCTATTCGTCGTGTTAACTTCACATCGATATTTCTTAATAGAAAATGTTCTTATCTCAAAAAATGAATTTTTAGAATTAGTAGTTTTTTTTTTCTACTTTTTCCTGGATACTTTGTTTTGATAGTGAACTATAATGAATAAGGACGGTAGGTCAGTCATGACTCGATCCCGGAACTGATTCAATAGTTGATGTTTCCGAGCGTTTATTAATTAACAATAATGATGCCAAAAAAAGAATTTTGTGAAAAGATAAGCTTTTTCTAATTATTTATTTCTTTTATACAAAAAAGTACCAATAAATTGAAATTAAATAAAAGAAAAGGTAAAATTGTATGAGTAACGTAGTCTTGTTTTTCTATTTAAATTTCAAAAGAAAG